GCTTGTCCCCGCCTCCCTAACCTGTCCTCCCTCCCACCTATCCCCTCCTCCCACCTCAAGCCCCACCTCCATCTCCTACCTACTAAGCCTCATCCCGTCCCCTTGACCTGTCCGTTCTCCCTGGACTGACCTATCCCCTCCCTAACTTCCCACCTACATTCCCCTTTACTGGCTCCATCCCCGCCTCTTTGACCTGTCTGTCTCCTCTCCACCTATCTTCTCCTCTATCCATCTTCTATCCACTTCCCCCTCTCTCCCTATTTATTTCAGAATCCCATTCCCCTCCCCATTTCTGAAGAAGGGTCTAGGCCCAAAACATCAGCCTTCCTGCTCCTCTGATGCTGCTTGGCCTGCTGTGTTCATCCAGCTCTGCACCTTGTTATCTCAGATTCTCCAGCATCTGCAGTTCCTACTATCTCTTAAAAGGAATAAATATGTGCTGGCCGGGATATGTATCCCAGGGTATTGAGAGAGACAAGGGAGGAAATATCCAATGTCTGGGCAGTAAGTTCAAATCTTCTTCGACCATAGGTGAGGTGCTGAAGGACAGCCCACATTGTGTAATTAGTTAAAAAGGAAGAAAGGGACAGACTAGGAAATTACAGGCCAGTCAGCCTAGTTTCAGTGTAGAGAAGTTATTAGAAAGGATTCTGTGGGACTCAATATATCGGCACTCGGAGAGACATGAATTAATTTAGGAATAGTTGGCATAGATTTATTAAGGGAATGTCATGTTTGACAAATTTGATCAAATCTTTTGAGGAGGTAACCAGGAGTGTTGGTGAGGGTAAATGCATTTGATGTGATCCATACTGACTTTAGCAAAGCTTTTAATAAGGTCCATTCTAGCAGATTGGTCATGAACATAAGATCCCATGGAACAAAAACAAAGTTGCTGGAAAAGCTCAGCAGGTCTGGCAGCATCTGTGAAGGAGGAAACAGAGCTAACGTTTCGGGTCCGGTGGCCCTTCCTCAGAACCCATGTAAGCCTATTTGCCAGCCTACTAATTTTCATGTCATCCATGAACTTCTTGATCATACCCCCTCCATATAAATCCAAATTATTAATGTACATCATAAACAGCACTGAGCCATTTGGAACTCCATGGGAAACAGACTTCCAGAAGAGAAACATCCCTCTACCATTACCCTCTGCTTCCTACCTCTCAGCCAAATTCAGATCCAATGTGCCAATGTGCCTTGGATCTCTTAAGGCTGTTATTCTCTTAACCAGCCTGCCATGATAGACCTTGTCAAAAGCCTTGCTGAAGTCCATGTAAACCACATGAAATGCATTACCCTCATCAACAGGCCTAGTAACCTCCTCAAAATATTTAATCAAATTTTTCAAACACAACCTTTCTTTAACAAATACACTACAAAGTACTTTGGCAGTATATTGTTCTAAGGTGGCAAAGTATGACAGCCAATTTTCACACAAGATCCCACAAATATAAAATTATTGAATTCCTTATGTTAATTATCAAGTAACACAGATTAATAACATGGATTTAGTTTACTTAAAAATGTCATGCATATTTATTTAACAGCTCAAACTACAACTTTCAGTTAAGTATAATCACATTTGCCACCTGCTTCTAGCTTGTTCCTACATGACTGTGTATGATATTTGGTAATATGAATACATATTGTTATTTGGTTGATTTACATATCTAATTCTTAAAGCAACACGGCTCTTAAAGCAATAATACAATCCCATTCTTCCATGAACAAATTACATGCACCCTATATAAATTTTATGATAGTTGTGAAATTGCTTACAAAGGAATAACAATTGAAAATGTTATGAGTTTTTGTCCAAGAGTCTATATACTATATATTTGTTTTGACAATATTTCTGGGTCTTGTGATGGTGTAACTTTCCGGCGATTTAGACTTTGCACTGAGGTGTTCTTGACTTGTAGGTGTGTTGGAATCTTACTTGCTGTTAGTGTGTTGACTGATTGCTATCCTGATGGTTTTCCATACCTTAATATTCGAAACTATTTTTATGTATGTTTTGTGCACCGTTCTAGTACTGCACAGTTTCCTGTGTTAGCTTCTGTCTCTCCTTAATGTTGCTCAGTGTTATGACTTGTTGAGAGCCTAAACAGCTAATAGCCTGGCAATGTTGTCCTGGGTTGGCCTCTGCTGGTGACATTAAGCCCATGTCCAGAGATATAGACACTTTGAAACCACGTTTGTAGTAGACGTTCAAGTCACAACTCTGTAGTTTTACAAGAATTCATTGTAGTCTAGGTGGTGCACTTGTAGTGATTTGCACCAAATCATTTCAAATTCTTTATAGTTGATTTCCACGGTGAATTACTTTCCAAATAGGTATGTATGGAATCTTGCAATACGCAACACCAGAGCAAGTGTGTCATGTTCTATTGTGCTAATGGTGCTTGCTATAGAACTTTGAACCCAAATACAGTTGGTTTGCCGTATCGGATGATGCACATTTCTTTCTGAAACGCATTGACTTCCAGGATTGTTTTCTTCCTTGGATTATAGAACTATGGATACAGTTTTCTGCTGATATTTGAGACTTATTTGAGTCATTTGAACACTTGGTGGTGGCCCACCCGCCATTTTTTGGTATGTCTTTTAAGAGTTCCTTTATAGATGGTGCTTTATTGAAAAACATTGATATGTATAGTTCTGGATATTTAAAATCCCTGAGACAGCTCTACAGGTCTTCTTTGTCTTGGGAAGTAGGCATGTGTCTTATACCTTCAACTTTGTCTGATTCGGAATGGATTCTACAAGCTGAATAGATAAAGCCAAACAAAAAAATGATTTGACCTAAATTGACTTCTTGCCTTTGAACTCAAGCAGTGAACAAATCTTTTGTAGTGAACTGACTCCATTAGTGAGTGTAGATTTTGATAGTATTTTTCTTTAGATTTGCCAATCACCATAGTAACTTGGGCAATACATTCACATTCAGGAATATTTTCTATATTTCTATCTATATGCTGCTACAACACATCCTGACAAATACGTTGAAAAGTAGTCTAATAGCAGTATCTTCCAAATGGCATTCTGAGGATTTCTTCAGATTCCTTTGCCAAGTGAACCATGCAATGTCCATCTTTGGCATCTGTCTTGGAAAATATTTTTATCTCCTACAAATTTGAGATTCAATTCCTCTAATGCTGAAACTTTTGTTTGAACAATGTTTACATGTTTTGGGTCCAAACATACCGTGATTGTGCCATTCTTCCTCAGCATGTACATAATAGAACGGCACCAGTCTATATACTGATATACACAATGGATCATGGCATTATGTTCCATGTTATCCAATTCAGTCTTAAGCTTCTCTTGTATGTGAGCTGCACTTTCTGAGATTGACAAAATTACTTCTTCTCATTGTACAATTCGGCATAAACTTTGAATGTTTCTATGGCATTGAATCTGTCTGAGTTAGTCCTGCAACAATTATACCCAATGTGAGGATTCTTGATCTCTTCTGCTGCAGTTGACATTTTAGTGATGTCATGCATGGTCAAATTTTGTTGGATCCATGCTGATAATCTTGCTGTTGCTGGTCCACTTGTGTCAACATTTGTGATTGTACCAATGCAAGGATATGAGTTACTTTGTATACAGTTATTTTTGCTGTTGTAGATTGTATTGTTAACTTCCAATAATACAGGTACATATCTTTCAGGATTCTAACTGATAGGATGCTTGCACTATCGCCCCTATCAACTTTGATCTAGCACGTGTGTTTGCTAATTTTCTTTAGGAATGTGAGGTTAATAGTGGGAAAAGATTCTAACTGTTTGATATAGCCTACATAAGTGTCACCTTCAATGTATGGAACGCATGTTCACCTTCTGTTTCCATCTTTACTCTGGTCAGTCTGACTGCTCATGTCATGTATGTGCTTGTATTTATGTGGATCACGAGTTGTTACTACCAGCATGTTGTACATGCTTTTTTGTTTGGTTGCACCCTATTGTAGCCTCTGGTTATATCCTTGTAATCAGACTTCTTGCATAGGTAGCCTAGTGTCCAGATGGCTCTCAAAGATCTTGAAATACATAACAGTTTCATGGTGGGTGCAACAAACTGGACTTCCCACGTGGTTTGCTTACTTTTCCTGCATTAGTAACTGCACTGTGCTTGCAGATTTTGGTTTTGGCTACAATGGCTCCATATTTTCTGCCATCTGTAAGCAATATGTCAGTGTCATGACCTTTCTCTCCAAGAGGTCTTTTTGGAAAATTCGATAGATGTTGAAAGTACGACAAACTGTATAACCTACTCACAGGGTTCAACATCTGAAAAATCACAGTCTTTGCCCCTGTCACAGTACCTACTGACAAACTGATCAATTGATTCTTGTAGCTGTTCTGCTTGGAATTCTAAAGTTTATTTTTACACAAGGCTGATTTTCCACCACTTCTCATAGCTTAGCAAGATCCATATGATCCACTTGAGATAGGCCAGAAATGTTTCCAATGACTACCTTATTTTCACTGCTTGCTTATCCTGCTTTTCAATCTAAAAAGGATAGCTCCAATGTTTGCATAAAGAACCTAAACTTGTATATGATGGGTGTGGCCTTCATTAGTCATCTTTCTGATGTTTCTTGCTTTCGAAAATGGGAATTTCTAGTGCTGTTACGACTGTAAGGTTACTATCTCACTGCTGCAAAGATTCAGCAGTGGTGTTTCTGTTTTTTTTAATTCCGTCCTGTGGTGTTTTTAGAGCATAGGTGTAACTTCTTCACTGTGTCAAGACCTATCTGAGGCCATCTCTTGTGATATTCAAACTTGTGTCACCCCTTTGTTTTTAAGAAAAATACCCAGCACTGATCACCATATCTTATTTCCTATGTTATTGATAAGAATACAGATTTAGAAGCGTGGGGATTCAGTGTATTTGAAAATCTCATGAAGACTTTGGGCTATAACTTTCTCTGCAGATAACTATATTTTTAACCTCCTTCTGCTAGACTGCATATAGCAGTCGGTCATGTTATTACATTCTGGTGCTTGACTCATTAGCATATCAAGATCTTAAAACAACTCAGCTCTTAAAGGCAAAATGTGGAACCTCTCTGTCAATACTGCACTGAAGTGTCATTTTAGAGTATGTGCTGAAATTTCTAAAGTGGGGCCTGAACCATAACAGGCAAACAGAAAGAAAGATACAAAGAAGACAGGCAGTCAGGCATAGAGCAATGTAGCTATTGTCACAAAAGCGGAGAAGCTGTAGAAATAATTAATTTCTCAATGCAATCATTGTCGTAATGCATAGAATGTTCTAACGTAACGTTCTGACAAAGAGACAAGGTTGTAAAGGAGAAATCCTAAGTGTTCCATTCTTAGTTTGTGTCCAACTTTCAAATGATGCTAGGAGATTACCTACCTGCTTTCACCCCTCACTGTGACTATTTATGCAAAATATCCAAAGAAGCTATCTGAATACTTGAGTGAAATACCACTGCTTCGTACCCTTAAATTTGGCTCACTATCTCCTTAACTCCTGTTGAACTCTTAAAATCTTCACTATACTTAATGTCAATGCCCTCCCTTTAGCTGTATTATATAATAAAGCATACTAACATACTTGCAAGACAGTGTTGAATTGTTCATGCGATTATTTAATTTATTTAGGTGAATGAAAGGAGATACAAATGATGTTGTAATTTATTTTTATGGCACTTCAAATATGGAGTTAGTATTCTCATTGTGTTAGTGTTTAGTCCTGTTATGTATTGTTTAAGACTAGAAACTATTTCCTTATTGTGCTTTGCAATCACTTCATAATGTAAATTTCATTTGAAATATGTGTCAATTATTTAAATTGTGGTCTTAATTTAACAAGATAGTTTGAATAATAAAGTTTCATAAGTGATAATAATACCCATGTCATGCTTATAAGTTGGCTTCAAATCAGAATTTTGCTTTTCTTAAAAGCACATCTTACCTTGTGTCCATTTTGCTTGTTTAATTTGTTATTGTTATTTTTCCTTGGATTCTGTTGTATAATGCCTCAAGATCAGAGGTATAATTTATCTAGGATCAATATTTCCTCATTTGCACTTGCTGTCTCAATGCAGGTGATATTGCAGATATATCAGGTAAGTTTATCAGCTCTTTCACTTTTCCAATGCCCACTGTTCCTTCACCGTTCCATCCTTATATTTATTTGTGCAGCTTCATTGGTTCCCTCGTGAAACTGTCACAATGTATTTGCTTATAAAGCAGATACGTGTGGTTGTGCAACTTATGATTTTGTTCTCAGTTCATTGCAGTGCTTCATAGATAGCATTAGGATAATAAGCCTTTATTGTATGTTTCTTGCCTGAGCTAGATTAGTTGACTGTGAATGGATCTTTTTCTGAGAAGATTCAAATAATTAATCAAAATATTTATGCAAGCTACTGAAAGAAAATCACCTTCAAGTTTTAAATATTTTTGTCTTGTTATGTCTATACTTCCATTTTGATGTGTGCAATATTTCTCAAATTACTAGGGACAACTCCATCCATTCATGTGTGGGATGTCATAACCAAGCAGACGCTATCTATTCTCCGTTGTTCCCATAATAAAGGTGTCAGTTATGTTAACTTCAGTGCCACTGGCAAGTTGCTGTTATCAGTGGGTGTTGACCCTGAACACACTATCACTGTTTGGAGGTGGCAGGAAGGTAAAGTTTAAAGCTTATTATAATTAAGAAGTTATTAGTTATATTTATTCTCTTTTACAAAGCCATTGACCTACATTCATTCATTTATTTATAATGATGATAGTTAAGCAAGCAAATAGTAGATTCTGCACTACTTGCATCAATGCTTTATTTGACCTCAAAAGCAGAAGGCAAAAAATAATTAACAAGATATCTCGTCTTATATTTCCATCAGTAACAATGGAACAGAGACCATTTGGTTTTTTCTTTTATTCTGTTATTTTCTCACTTTCTGCCTGGTTAATTTCTGATTTTGATAAGAATTTGTTGCATATCCGTCAAGTCTAATTGGCACAAAATTGAATGTATTTGATGTTCAGCCATCCAAGTGAGATCTGGGTAAACCCCATAAAATCCTATTGAGTTTTTACAGCTTTAGAATCATTCTGGACTCTTAGAATGAATGCTTTGTCGTTTTTTTTTCCAATATCTACCATCTACTTGAATTCTTCTCCCAACTACTTTACCCTCATCTTCAAGAATAAGTGCAAGCAGCTTAAGAACATCTTGTCACAAAAAATGAAAACTATCTATTATTTCGCCCTTTCCCCTAACCAATAAGCTAAATGGCCTTAGTTCTCCCATGCTCAAATCCTGAACTCAAGTCTTTCTCTAGCTTCTCTCTTACCTCCCCTACATGTTCTCTGAACATCTGCTACATTAAATGCAATCTCTTTCCATTTCCACCAAACTGATGACCGAACAGCTAAAATCCCATTCCATCCCCATGCGAGCTGAAATTGTAAAGACTTACCATGGTAGAGTCAACTTCTGTTTCAACTCCATCATCATTACCCTCCTTAAATATACCCACAACCACTGCCTGCTGGACTTGTAGTCAATGCTCTTTTCCTTTACAAATTTTTCCACGAGGAAAGGGTGATACAGAGCAGTCCAACTACTTGGAGCGTTCTGCGACAATGAGGCCAGGCCCATCCTTCATAACTACAAAGTACCTTATCCCTCTCCAAGCACTATTCCTTCAGTCTACAAACCTAGTTCTGGAGCAGTCAAACATATATCCATGATCCTTGTCTCAGACGTGGTGACTGAGCTGACTTCTCCCAGAATCCAACTGGGTCGCTTCCCACCAGCACCATCTGTAACGGGAAGGATGCATTCATGTCATGGGTCATGGGAGAAACCTAGAGGGTCTCCAGAAGCAATTGATGGAATGAGACCTCCATGTAAGCCACGTTTTGGCCCTCAACTCCAGACCTTCTCCAAAAGACTTGACATCAGTCCTAACAAATAGCTGGTGAATGCTTAGTCATTGCACATTAATCTGCAGTGACCCCCATATACCTTCAGAAATTCAATTTTTATGTCCTTATTGATGATTCACAACTGATCACTAGAAAGCAAAATTCTGCAACTTTAGATTTATTTTTGAAAATCAGGCAATGTGGTGATAAAGAAATGCAATCAGGTAACTAATTTACACTGCATTATTTCTTCAGTTGGATAAAACTGGTAAGGAAAGATTGTTTTGAGTTCAAATTTCTTTTGTCATGTTGTAAGTCCTCGAGGGTGGCACGTTGGCGCAGTGGTTAGCACTGCTTCCCCACAGCACCAAGGATCTGGGTTTGATTCCAGCCTTGGGAGACAGTCTGTTTGGAGTTTGCACATTCTCCGTGTGTCTGCGTGGGTTTCCACCAGGTGCTCCGGTTTCCTCCCACAGTCCAAAGATGTGTAGGCTAGGTGGATTAACCACCTAAATGCGGGGTTATGGGAATAGGGTGGAGGGGTCGGACTGGGTCAGATGCTGTTTGGAAGGTCAGTGCAGTTAGGCCGAATGGTCTCTTCATGCACTGTACAGATTTTATGAACAAAAGGATGCATAAACAAGCTACTTTATATCAGACAGAATTTCTCAACTGGAACAGATTTAATCAACAACACTATTCTTGTTTGTTTTAGGTGTCAGAGTTACCAGCAAATGTGCCCACAGTGAGAGAATTTTTGTGGTTGAGTTCCGTCCAGATTCAGATACCCAATTTGTATCTGTGGGTATAAAACATATAAAATTTTGGACCTTGGCTGGTGGAGCGTTACTTTCAAAAAAAGGCACCATTGGAACTGTCAATGATGCAAGGATGCAAACCATGCTATCTGTTGCCTTTGGTGCTGTAAGTATTGTTTAATAAGATAACTAATAATTAAATAATTAATATTATTTGATATTATGAGAAATGAGTAGAATTATATATTGAAAAACTAATAATTATCATTTTAAAATATGTTTCCAATCCAAGACTCTTCTGCAATAAAACTTAAGCAGGAATATGTTGTATTTTCTTCTCCATGGCTGGAATTTATTGTTTTTTATAAGTAGTGGCAACAATCTACGTGATATTAAAATATGTCTATATATGTTTCTTGCCTTTATCCTTACTTTCATTTGTCACTTTTATGTTATTTCCTGCTTCATTTATCCCTATGCCCATATTTATAATAAGAAATGTTTAATTAAATTTATTACATTATAATTTTATCCTCCAGTTGCTAGTTTTGCCTCATACACAAGAACACAGGAAATAGGAGACAAGACAGTATGAACCACCGAGCCTGCTCTGGTTTTCAATATGGCATGGCTGAACCAGGGCTTCAACTCCAGTCTCCCACTTGCTCTCCATGTCCTTTGATTCCCTGAGCGACTAAAATCTATCTATCCAAACCTTAAATCCATTCAGTTATAGAGCATGCACAATCCTCTGGGGTGGAAGATTGCAAAGAATCACAACCCTTTTAGTGAAGCAACTTCTTATCTCAACACTAAATGATTGCCCCCTTATTCTGAGTCTGCGCTGTCATTTTTTGGAGTCTCCCCACATTGGAAACAATCTGTCAGAATCTACCTGATAAAACACCTTCAGTATCTTATATATCTTCCAACCTTCCAGCTTGTACACAATAAGTATCTCCCACGTCCCAAGTAAATGTTTCTGATCCTTGCTGTCAAACTGAAATATGGATCAGCGTATTGGGAGGCAAACTGTGCTGTTATTGTCATTTTCCATAGTGTGGCCAATTAATGGCCAGAGGTTGCACTTCTCATTCAATGAATAATGGAAGGTGGTGTCTCAAGTCTGAAGGCCCAATCAGAGGCCTTTTACATACTTTTTGCTATTCAGCTATGGCATGCACACCATCTAAACGTTGTTCAACACAATCACTGAATATTCTGTTCCCTTTGTTGCAAAACAAGGTAACACACAATAGAAGGGGACAGAACTGCTAGGGGACAGGACACCTGCATCTCGTAAGGTCTAGAGAGCAGGAGGTGCTTTGCACCTTAGGGCTGAAAGCAACAGAGCCTGTAATGTCAGGAACCACTGATGACATTGAGGAAAGCCTTATGTCCTTTCTCAAATCCCAGCTCATCATAATTGCGCTGTCTGACCTCATACTGCAGATGGTATGACAATGGATCCCTTGCTTTCCTATCCCCCCTCCACCCTACTCCTCATTCCCTTATCCCAACCTTTCCTTTTCTGATTTTCTGTTTTCAAACACTGTAGAATTGCTGCCTGCCTGCAATAATTGCACAGAGGCCGGTATCCTGTCACCAAGTCACCCTCTATTTATACTTACTCAGTACATGGGCTCTGACCAGCCAGCTCAAAACCAGTCGCTCAACTGAGGAGACCTTCTGAACCCCCTCTCCATATCTGTCAGCCAGAGATCCTGTTATTCAAAATAGTCACTCTTGCTCCCCATAGTAATATGCCATCCTCTGCAGTGATCTGGTCTTGTCGGCCCCAGAAAAGTTTCAATGCTGATTGCAATAGCCCTTCTGTTTCCCCCCAACCACCAGCTGTTTTAGTTTTCCTAGGACAGGATCTTTTTGTGCCCACAGTCGGATATTGCCCACAGTGACTGGAAGGGCATCCTGAAAGTTTAAAACCAGAACTGACTCTTGTCGGCAGGCACTACCAGTGGAGTATCTGGCAGTGGGAAGCGGCTCAGGCATCTGCATTTGTCACTTGGCCTCCTGGACGGTGTGCCAACTTGTAATTGCACACATTGAGAAAAAGGGCCCACCGCTGAATTTGATCAAAAGCCATGGGCTGTGCAGTTTTGTCTTCTTTAAGTAGCCCTAGCCAGGTTTTGTGGTCCATTACTATGACAAATTTCCATCCGCAAAGGCATTAGTGGAACTTTCACCCACCAAAGATGACTGCCAAACTTTCCTTCTCTATCTGGGCGTATTTGCGATCAGCATCAGCCAAAGTCCAGGAAGCATACGCCATCAGCTGTCCCTCTCCATTGAGCCACAATGAGGCAACACTACCCCGATACCATACAGGGAGGCATTGATTTCAGCATCACCTCTCGCTTGGGATCATAATGGGCCAATACCTTAGATGACGATAGCTGCTTTTTCACTTTCCTACAAAATTACTTCTTGACTACGTGACAATTTCCAAGGCTGACCCTTTTTCAATAATAGGTTTAAGGGTGTCAAATTGAAGGTCAGGTTATGTAGGAATTTCCCATAATAATTCACCAACCCAAGAAAAGACCTAAGACCTGGGAGCTGGGGCACCTTTGATTGTCCTCACTTTATTTTCGAATGGATGTAACCTGGTTGTGTTGACTCTGTAGCCCAAGTAAGTTACTTGGGGCACCTGGAACATTTTTCCCTTCTAAGGGGTATGTCCATCTGGGAGAGACATTTAAACGCAAAGTCCAAGTTCTCCAAGTGATCTTTATTGATCTTCCCGGTTAGTAGCCCTTATAAAATGTTCTCCATGGTCCACCGGAAAAGGGCACAGGCTGATGATACCCCAAATGGCAGTGTTGTATAATCGTGGCTCATGTCCAGCTTGAAGAAGAGCCTCCCTGCCAGTATTGCATCTATGCAAAGGGTTGGGTATTTATCCAGCTGCAAGAAACAGTTAACCATTTTGCTTTGCTGAAATAACTGCACAGAGGCTAGTATCCTGTCACCCAGTCACCCTTTATTTACATATGCACAGTACATAGGCTCTGACCACCTAGCTCATAGCCAGTCCCTGGACTGAGGAGACCTTCTGAGTATCCTGTTTATATCTGTCAGCCAGGGCTCTCTGATTGGCCCAGGTTAACAACCCCAGTCAAGGATCTCACAGTCAATGAAATCCACCTGGCTCTGGTTCCTATCACTACACTTCCAACCACATCATACGCAGAAGGAAGAAATACAGCAACAACGCAGCACTTATGAAAAGGCCTCAACACTGAATCTAACACTTGTAACCACAACTCTGATACTGGCATTGCACATACCTTAGTGGCAAATATGGAGTTGTGATCTGCACACGGTGAACCATCATGCGCAGGTTGGCTACAGCCAGGCCAAGGATGAGAGATAGTTATATGCCAGTTCATTATAAGATTAGAGCGCAAACAAGTTCTGCTCCAGTGGACTGGAGATTGCAGCATACTGGAGAATGCTTAAAAGGATGCACACTTAGATGTATTGGCTGGTCTGCCAAAATCAGTGTCAAGGAACATGGAGGAGTCTGACTTCAACTTTTCAAAGTACCTCACAGAGAGTTGCCCTCTTTGAAGCCTCTGCTGCATCTCTGTATCATGCCTCCGACCCAAAGACATTGCAACTGCACCTCTTTAAGTGTTGAAGCTTTGTGTGGGCAGATAACAAATCCTTTGCCATCCCTGCAATGATGCAGTAACACTTCCTGCCAAAAATATTCTACAGTATTTATAGTGACTTTACAAGAGCAAGGATTATTTTGAATAGCCTTCCCTGTAATTTGAATGTCTCGTCCTGTAAATAATCCAATTTCCAAATCCCTGATGATTCTGGACCTGTATTATTTAGTGAACGACAAGCAAATGTGTGGTATCGATCTACGTGGCCCAAGTCTGCAAACAGACCACCAAATCTGCCAGCCTTAGTTCAGAGGTTTCTGGTGCATGCATGGGATACAATTCCAAGCACCCTTCCTAGAATGGGATGCTATGCTAGAAGTGGCTGTTGGAGCAGCACATCCAACTCAGCCTCAGTTTGTCTCCAGCGGCACCACTTTTCTGAATTTCATGCTACAGGGATTTAATTCCTGTTTGCAACATCCCAAGAGAATGACTACTTATTTAAAGATTTCAGACAAAAATAACAATTAAGCAGCTGATGAGATATGTGTTCCATGGCAGATACACATTTTTCCATTGATAGAGCTCAAGAAAAATTGTCAAGCTACAGTATTTGCCTCTGATTGAACTAAAAATATTTATGAATGCATTATAAAGAGTTTACTTATTTACTTTCTAATTTATACCTCCTATTTATAGAACAATCTTACTTTCACTGGTGCCATAAGCGGAGATGTATATGTCTGGAAGGATCACATTTTAATCCGAGTTGTAGCAAAAGCCCATACGGGACCTGTTTTTACAATGTACACAACATTAAGAGATGGCTTGATAGTTACTGGAGGCAAAGAAAGACCGTAAGATTCATTTTTAGATTTGTAATTGGTTTATCTACAACATATTTAACCTAATGAGATTACCTTAAAAACTCTTCTAATGTTTAACATTAACATGTGTTTAATTCTATTAGTAGATTAACTTTCTTTCCAATAATTCTGTTTGCAATCTATGATTTATAAGATTTGTTTGCAAGACCTATAAAAATTAATCTTCTGTGTACACCAGCAGGATATCTATTTTATTTTTTTTGAATCTCAAAGACTGTTACATTTTGCTTGCACAGTACAATGTAGTGCTAACCATTAGGAAGGTGCACCTACTTAACTGAATGTGGAGTTGCTCGAACTAGAAGTAGACACAGGTTTCTCCCTACTCCCAACCATCAATTTCTCCCCCAGTCTTCCATCCTAATGACGTTAAGTAGCTCAATATAGCCACTTTTAATCCTAAGATAATATCCCTAGTGCCCTGATTCATTTCTCATTGCACTGGTGCCTAATATCATTTATCAGTTGAAGTGCCATTCTGTTTTCTGGAAGGCAAGAATGATCTCCAACTGGAACATCAGTGCTTAGGAGTGTACACTATATCAGTGTTGGGTAGTTGTATCCAGCACTTAAGAACTCGCACATTTTATGTCTGATTATATTTGCACTAATTGTTCAGTTTTGATATCTGTTGGTGTCAGGTTACTTGCAATCTTTTACTGTTTGTGGTCAGTCTATCACATCTCCAAACATATTTCTAGAAGCTATTCGTTTTTAATCCTTGCCATTTTAATTTCAAATTCCAAAAGGGGAAGGTATTCTGTAAATTCATTTCGAACTCATGTCCCAAAAAAAGAACATCTACCATTCCCTACAAATGAATTATCATATCTTTAGGAGTTGTTCAAGTACTCCTTTTTTCCTTTGTCATATGTTTTCCCCAAATATGTTTATAAACTCATTTAAAAATGTCTTTTAAAATTAATTCAATTAGAACTTGATTACCACCTAAGGCTCTCCAGCCTGAGATTTCTTGACATTTTCTACCTTTCTCCTGCATTCCTCTTTATTTTAGTAATATAATAAATCATGTGGATTTTCAAACTTAATGTAACTTTATCTGCCAGTTAATTAATTTCAGTTTAGTTTGTTGACCTGGAGCGATGGCATATATTTTTTCTGAAGTGGAACACCAAAATTAAATTTCTTCTGAAAAGCCCAAATAGCTTTATTTTGGACAGTAAATGCAGGTCTGGAAGAGCAGGCATAAATGCAAACATTGCTGTTCTTCCCGACCTCTTTAAAAAATGTTTTCTCATCATTTTTGAAGCAGCCGTTAGTGGTTTCCTCAGAGATCCTGCTCATTGGACAATGTTGTTCCTTGTATAAGTGGGTGATGCATGCTCTAATCACACTGCAAACATTTATCTCATAGACTCACAGATGTTACAAAACAGAAGGAGGCAATTTGACCCATTGTGTCCACCGCAGTCAATAAATCTGACTGCACTAATTAAATTTTCCAGCTCCTGGCCTGTAGCCCTGGAGACTTTGGCAACATAACCACCATTTCAGGTAGTGAGTTTCAGATTCTCACCAGTCTCTGGTTGGAAACATTTCTCAACTCCCCATTTAGCATTCTATCTCTTATCTTAAATCAATGCCCCCTGGTTATTGACCCCTCTATTAATGGAAACAGTGCCTTCCTATTGACTTTTTCTTGTACCCTTTATAATCATGTACACTTCAATCAGATCCCCTTTCAAACTTCGCTGCTCCAAGAAAAACAGTCCCAGGCTATCCAATCTTTCTCATAGTTCAGCCATCAGCCTTGGCAATATCCTGATAAATCTCTTATGCATATGTAATCACATCCTTCCTGTAATGTGTTGCCCAGAACTGCCAGTGGTAATCCAGTTGTAGCCTAACCATGTTTTATACATTTATCGGGTCATAGGGTCGTACAGCACGGAAACAGACCCTTTGGTCCTATTCATCCATGCGACCAAGTTTCCCAACTAAAGTAGTCCCACTTGTCTGTGTTTGCCCCATTATCCCTCTAAACCTTTCCTATTCATGTACCTATCCAAATGTCTTTTAAATGTTGTAAGTGTACCTGCATCTACCATTTTCCTCCACAAGTTCATTACACATACGAACCACCCCAGTTCCAACAGAGCTTCCCTAATCTTGTTTCTAAGCCTCAGCCAATAAAGACAAGTATCCCATATGCCTTCTTATCCACCTTATCTACCTGCTGTACTACCTTCAGTGATCTGTAGATATGCACACCATGCTATCTCTGAACTTCAGTACTTGCCAGGGTATTACCTTTCAGAGTGTAATCCCCTGCCTTGTTAACCCTTACCCTCTCCAAGTGTACTACCTCATATTTTTCCAGCTTGAATTCTATTTGCCACTGCTTTGCCCAGCTGAACAGTCCATTAATATCCTCCAGTTTACGACTATCCTCCTCACCATCGACCAATTTTGTGTCAGACATGCACTTCTTGATCATACCTTTGCTTTTAATTCCAAGTCATTAATCTACACCATAAGCAGGAAGGGCCACAGCATAAGCCCTGTACAATCCCTCTGGAAACAGACTAGCGAGCACATAAACATCCCTCTCCTATCACCCTCTGTTTCCAGTCTGTTAGCCAATTTTGGATCCAGTATGCCACTTTTCCTTTATTGAGCAGTCATTAGTGACCTTGTCAAAAGCCTTGCTAAAGTCCATATGGACCACATAAAATGCGTTACCCTCATTGACACTCCTGGTTACTTCTCAAAAAATTTAATCAAACATGACTTTTTCTTACCAAATCCATATTTTATCCTGGCCTCCAGATTTATCCACTGTTAAAGCTGATAAATCCACCAATATCTCCTTTCCCTTTATTTTAGTTTATTTTAATAGTTCACAGTCCTTCACCCAGGTGTCTACACCTGTGCTGTTGTACTTATAAATTTTCATATGGAAATAACCTCCCATGTTCTCAAGTCTTTGAGCTTCCACTGTGGACACCTTGCTTCCTTGCTATTCTTGATTGCCAAATACTTCATAAGTGAAACAATCGGCAAATGAATATAGCATCAATGGTGCATATATATCCCCTTTCTTACATCAGCACGTGAAACTTATAAGACTCAGGAAAAAAAAATTAAACTTTATAACCTGCATTGAAAACTCCAGTAAGAAACCTACTTTTCCATACCTAGCCAGCTAAAGCTGACACGTTAATTTATATCACATGCTACAATAACAATGTGAGAAACACAAAATTCAGTGTGGGGATCATTAACATATTTGTAAATGTATAGTAAGGTTCATGCTGCTCAATAATACTGTCTTAGAAAAGCTAATAATTATATGCGGTGTAGATTGTAGTGCGTTATGCATTAGATGTAGGGTCATCCATGGCAGAATTTCTAAAACACATGTCCAATTTGAAGCCCCTGCTATCAGATGAACTTATGAAAATGAGCCCCATAATAACCAGTATTAAAATTGAAATATTAATTCCAGCAAAATGTGCATTACTGCTATTATTATTATTGTGGTCAGGTTTAACAACTTCCCTCGCATGCTTGTTAAATTGTTTTATTATTAAAGTGAATGATATAATTCAATGAAGCTCCTAATATAATGTAAAAAGTAGTAACTGTAAATTAGTAAAGTACTGTAATTAATAAATAATGTACATCAGAAAATGAATGAAAAGAATTGATCTAGGCAGGTAGATTATATATACATTATTATTGGTATCACTAATTCTGGAAAACATAAAATCTATTTTCTTGAATATAAATTTAAGTGAAGTGCACATAAACCACCATAAATATCATCAGTTTCAAAGTTTTACATGTGATTTTGTTAATGCAATTATTAGTCTACCCTGGAAAAAATAAAGTGATCAAATTATTTGCAATTTACTATAAAACTGATTGATGTGCTCTTAATTTCAAAAGGACAAAAGAGGGAGGTGCAGTAAAACTATGGGATCAGGAAATGAAGCGGTGTCGACCATTTCAGTTGGAGACAGGACAACTTGTCGACTGTGTGCGTTCTGTCTGTCGAGGAAAGGTCAGAACATCCAAATTTTAAAAGCATCTTAGTTAAAGTTCATTGCAATGTTATTTGAAAATGTAGTTCATCCATCCAAAAAAAAATAGCTATTAAGATTCTATGGGGGATTGAAGTTTGTATTCAGTTGACCTAGTTTGAACTACCTTGCGTAAACAAATTTCATTGTGATATCATAAATTATTGCCTTCTATTTAATTATCATATTTTGACAAGACAAAAATAAAACTAAAATTCACAGGGCAAAGGGTTAAGAATAGGTTAGAAATAAATAGATTCTGTTTCATCTCGGTTTACAATGCAAAAATTTAATGTTTCAATTCCACATTTCATGAAATTGCAACATTGTGTTATTGTAAAACTGATCTGGGAAGGATTGCCAATTACTGGAAGTATTGTGTTTGAAATCTATTAATTTGCTGAAAAGTTATTGAAAAAAATTGGAGTAGAGTGCTATGTCTGTGGTGCTAGAGAAGGTTTGGCACTTGAACCTTCTGGACTAAAGGAAAGGACACTAATATGAAAATGGAATTAAAATGGAATTTAAAATTTTAATCAAGAGAGGGAAATGTCTCATCAGACATTCAGGACATAGAGTATTACAGCTGTCATCAATTTAACAATGACCCAGATCTTCATTTCTCTGGATAGTCAGAGACCAGATGTACAACCCAAGATGTGTGCAGGGAACCCAGGGAAATCCTGACACAGTAGGATTTTCCTGAGAAATTTGAGTTTCCAGTGGCAATTGTCCTGCTCCATGGGACAAAGAGTTAAAGTCAGAGGCTTCTGACTTACTTAATTGCATGTTTACCTAGGAGATATTAGACAGAAAAATCCTATTCTAAATCCTGGGAAACTATACAACTACCTCAACAACTATACCTCCATATGACCGCTGATTCTCTCCTAATCCGACTATATTACACCCCTCACTGCAAAAAAACACTGATTTTGCCACTCAACTAACCCCCTGACCTCCTAACTCCCAGCCCACAATTAGACCTGACTTCACCACCCAACTAAACCTTTACCTCTCAAGGATTCCACCACCCCCAGACTTCACCCTATTCTAATCTGACTTAACTTCAAGACCTGACTCCAATCTGCCCTTGTATATTCTTACACATTCACTTCTATTCTGTGGTATACTTGATCTCACCTCCTCACTCTACCTTATCAAATCTACCGCATCAAATAATTTCTCACACCACTTATCCAGTGTTCTCTTCCCAAACACGTCCTAATATTCCCATCTATCCACCCTTTCCTGTTCACTCAGTGACCATTTTGCCCATTCTTTAGTCATGAATTAACATGCTGCCATCTCACCCCATGGCTGAATCTGCCATAGATGCATGTGGTGCACTGTTTTGTGGCACTTTCACAGGCTCCAATGCCATAGACCCTGGACCAAGAATATTTAAATTGCAAGAGCTTAAATCTGTGCAGGCTACCACTAGAGCTCCACTAACGCTGCAGGGATTGCTCCACATAGAAGAGTTTAAAAAAATAGTAAACCTTTATAGTTGCACAAAGGTATGTTCATGGATCTATGAGAAAATATTATGTTGTTAAGCTTCCTTTGTTTAATAAAGTTACATTAAAAAATATTACTTTGCCCACTTTCACGTATTTCCATTGGTTACCAAGTAGGAACTTACTTTTCTCTTGTTGTTGATGAATGGGAAGATATGAATTGATGGTGAACCAGAAGGAAAAACTAGTCCAACTTGTGAGTGATGCACACTGGTCAAGCTCATCTTATGTACATCAGTCCTGTAAGACCAGTAATTTCCAGGTTTATTTCTCTTTGGGAAGCAATGGAGTTATTATATGAAATGCAATATGGCTACTTTGCAAGTGCCAACACAGCCAGTGAGCTCACCTAGCCTTAACATGACAAACTGCAGGAAGCTAGTACACATGCCCCGATGACATCACGGTGTTCTGTGCACAGCATGCGCCATCTTGCAAGGACTGGGGGACCTGAGTTGGAGGTTGGGGCTAGAACAGAATAAAAGCTTGTGCGAGGAGCCGTGAGATGGCAGAGTCCGGGAGGTGAAGCATGGCGTGAAGGAGCCTGGGAGTAGACAATAGGTCCTCTCCAGTCACCATCGCCTACCCTGGGGTGGGCGGAGAGGATCTCAGACCCTGTACAGCAACCACCTCCCTCCACCAATTAAATACAGCCAGGGATAAATGGGGCATGTACATTGGGTGATGGTTGATTATAGGATTCCTTTATGTCGGTGAGGTCTGAGTGAGTGACAAGTTAGATGCGACTGCTAAATTGATCCAGTGGTAGTGTCTAACTGAACCTTACAGCTGAAAGAGGATCCTGAAAAATTGTTATACTGTTAAGTTTTTGTTTTCTTTATTGTTTCATGGGGCATGAGTGTGAGCCAGCATTTATGCCCAACCCTATTTGTCTTTGAAGTGAATGGTTTGTTCAATAATTTCAGAGAGCAGCTAAGAGCCAATCAGACTGCTGTGAGTCTGGAGGTGCATGTAGATTACACTGGGTAAGGATGGCACATTTCCTTCTTTAAGGGGCATTAGTGAACCAGATGGGTTTTTATAACTGTCAGCAATGGTTTCACAGTCATGTTAGACTACCTTTTAACTTGAATTTTTTGATTCAGTTGTTTCAGTTGTTTCTTATAATCACATGGTAAGTATCACCACCTTTCTGCATTCATCATTGTTTGCTGAATTAGAATTCACCGTTTTAGCTGATGCTGTGTTGGAGTGGGAATTGTGTTTGTCTTCATGGATTAGTTCTTAAACAATTTGTGCTTAGATTCTTCATGCAACTCATGTCCATGCAACCAGTCCCAGCCACCGCACAGTGGAAGCAGAAGGTCTTCTGGACCACTATGGAGACCCTCATGGCAAATATAAATGAATTTTCCATATTTGTCCAGGCATTTGAAGCATGTTATCACAATCAGAACTTAGATGAGGTTCTCTCGACAGGTACTGCAAATAGTTAAGGTCACGGGGAGGACAGGTGAACTGTCTCCCCTTCTTTATTCGTCTGTTCCTTCAGTTGGTTGTAAGAAGGTTAATTTTAAAAAGGATCCCTCCATAAGGAATGCCTTTCTCTCATACTAAATTAGTTTATATTTAAAAAGGAAACTAATTTAACCAGGCTTTCTTGAGTTAACAAAGGAGTGAATTTACTAGTTACTAAACACAACAGAAATTAATAACATAAGATGCAAATTGGGAGTAAGGAGTCCAAACAAAATATTAAAAGATTTATGGATCAGTCTCTCTGCACTGTTGAAGAGTAAAACAGTTGATTTTGGGATGCTTGGCTTTGCAGTTGGTTGAAATGCTCTTCCCCTGACAGACAGCACTGAATCTACATCTGCAGTCATTTTTGTCTGAAATAGTCCTTATTTTAAGGACACATTTTGGAGTTAAAAATTAAAATTATCTGTAGCACTTCAAGGTTCTGATCCACTGTCATGACAATGTCTGTTGCTTGTTTATTGATACATCTAGTTGTCATCTGGCTGCTGTTGTGCTGCCTTTTGGTTTTATTAATAGGTTCAACATCCAGCTTTGAAGACAATATCCTGTTCTCTGTATCCTTTTCTCCTAGCAGTCAAATTTTAGATTGCCTGGTAGGTCAGGGCTGCCAAAGGATGAAAGCATTATGAAAGTTCCCTGGGAATCTGGCACCCTGCTGCATTAACCTTTACATGCCATTTGTATTTATCTAGCTAACTTGGGGATCCTGGAATTATTTCTGGCAATGCACAGAAAAATTCTGAGGCCAAGAAGTAATGGGCGATGGTCACTTCCACTGCATAATGAACAGCTACTGGTCCAACAATCACAGGGCCTCTTGTAGGAGGCAGCAGATTTCTTACATCATTTGAAAATGCAATCTCAGGCACCAGAAGCACTATTCTTGCTAGATGTGGCCAAAGTATCACATACTTTAGGTGCAGTCCTCCCAGGCACTGAGCAACATGGGCACTGGGGAGAAAGTTGGAAAAATCGTGTGAGATCATCAGTTGAGGAACTTTTCATCGTTAATAGCAAAACAGCCAATTTTTCAACCAAGTATTGAATGGTAAGACAAGATTCTCACTAGTGAGCAGTGAGAGGGCTGTTTGCATGTATTAGAATGCATTGATATCTCATTAATTCATCTCACCTCAATTATATATGGTTTTCCATTTTCCCGCCCCTTTGATAGAAACTAAGAACCGACAATTCCAAAACAGTTACATGGTGACTCCAGTTCACTGTTTTCTCTTCCAGCCTTCCATCTTGGATACCAGTCACCAACATTTCAGGGCAAACTCCATGGGCATCGACTGCACGTACCCCCATCCACAAATGTTGGCATCCGAACTGCCAACTTCATAGCATCCCTGCCTTGCCTAGCCTTTTTGTGCTTTGCCCCCTCAACCAATCTCACTGTACTTCAATCTTGACTGACCTTTTAGTGCAGAAACAAAGCCAAGCTATTTGTCATGGTTGTTAGCAGTCATCAGTTAAGATGGACATGTTGCTATACAGCACCATGCTATGTCAGTCTCACACTTGCACTACTTAGCAGCATACACTGCAAACACACTGCACGTGCATCAACCAAATGACCGTGTCTCACAGTTTAAGGGGAATAGTCCTCAGTCAAGTCAGGGTTCCTGGCAGAGTTAGTCAGGGCATCATTTGTGACCACTGCAGGGGCTTGGACATGGTCAGATGGTTGCATGGGTCAGTCATAGTCAGGGGTTGCATATCACCACTGTCTGAGGAGTAAGTCATGGTCAGTCCTGCTGGTCCAGTTCAACCATCCTGGGAAGTTATGATAAGTCAATTGTGGAGCTCCTCAGGTCTGATGAGTTACAAAGCGGACTGTGCATCCATTGGTCAAATGGATGAAGCAAGGTCAGTCATGGGGGTCAGCTCTGATTGTCATGGGGTTTATCAGGTAGGTGAGTGGGGAAACTCAGTTGTGAGGATTGGACACAGGC